TATATATATATATATATAGAGAGAGAGAGAGAGAGAGCTAACCGCCTTGGGTAAACCTAGCGCCGAGCTTGGCGTAAGAGGAGAGCTTGACATCGAGATCACCCTCGATCTTGCGAGCCTCCTTCCTCAATTCCTCCCAACCCGATTCCTGCAAAAGCTCCATATTCGGATCCGTCATTCGATCTCAGGTTGGGACCCGACCCTCTTTCTACTCCTCCTTCGTGTGTGTGTGTGCGCGCGCGCGCGCGTGTCCTTCTTTGTTCTCTGTATGTATGTGAATGGGACTGCTTTATTTTGCTTCTGTTATTTGCAGTTGAATCGAATCAGCCCAATGCTCATTTTAATGAAAATAGGAGCCCCCCTTTCTCATTTGAGAGATTGAACAATAAATTTCAAATGTTAGACTTATCATCCATATATTTTCATAATTTTTTTTATGATTTATTTAATCATTTTAGAGGTGTAATACTTATTATTTGTCCTTCCAATTTCTTTAATTGTTATTGTTTTATATTTGAAATATATATATATATATATATTAAGAATTTTTTTAAAAATATTGTATTTGTGAAAAGTACATTAAAAAAATTTTATTTGTTAGAATATTACATTTAGAAAAAATATATTAAGGAATTTTTTAGCTGACTTTCTAAATTTACCTAATGTTATATTATACCCGTCATATTGAAGTGTTACATTTGATAAAAGTATACTAAGAAATTTTTGTTTATTGGAGTGTTACATTAGAGTATTACATTTAAAAAAAAAAAGTACATTATGGAGTTTTTTAACAGACCTTCTAGGTGAACCTAATGTCACTTTTTCTCTCACAAAATTACAAAAAAAAAAAAAAATAAAATAAAAAATACAATGATTGATATACAAAAAAAAAATTTTATTTCAAATTTCGCTAAAAGCTTAATTATATTACACTAACAATCATACGTTAATCAGCATTAGATAAATAAATAATAATAATAATAATTTCACCAAATTTTAAATAAAAATATAAATTTATCCTTACAAAAACATTTCTTAAAATTTGTTTAAAATACGAATTACCTTATGTGATTTTGAAAATTATATTCCGCCCTTTCAAATTTATAATCGCATAACAAATTTATTTTATTAATGAAGTATCAAATAAATTACCAGTTTTTAATAATGTCATAAACATATTTCAATTAACAATTCAAATAATTTTATTATTGTATAGAAGAATCGTTAGAAATTTTATTTTTTATGTTAATTGTATTAAATAAACAATTCAAATAAGGAATTATTTCTCATTTTTCAAATCGCAGAAAACAATTTGTATTTTAAATAAATGCCAGGAGGTGAATTTGTAATTTACCTATTTTAATACTTTTAAATAATAAAAAAAAGGTTTATTACACTTAATATTTCGAAACTATTGCCAAATGTCTACTTAATTCATGATCGATTGAGTTTACTAAGTGCCTAATGTATATAAATTAAAATTTATTTATTTCCTAAACTATCGATTGAATCTATTAACCTTTTAAAATATTTAATTTAAACATATTTAATCAATTCTTATGATGAATTTCCTTTATAAGGATAACGATAATTATCTATAGTAAGTTTTTTTACTTATCTTTTATAATGGTTGCATACTTGCTTTTTTTTAGTATTATATGTCACATCACATTTCGTTTATAAATTTTAATTAATTATTTTTAATTTTTTTGCTAAGTTTTTTTTATAATTTAATTAATGTATTATTTTATTCTATTATTATTTTCAGTAAAGTATTATTATTTAAATTATCTAATTATATTTATTTAGTATATCTAATACTCTCATAATTTTAAAACTCTCATAATTTCATAGGCAAAACTAAAAAATTAAATTCTAATAATAATTTAAACACACAAAGAAATTAAAAACTTTTTAATGACAAAATAAATTTTAAATTTTTTTTTGTAATAAAATGAGATTGAATCTTTTTAATAATTTATAATATTTATGAACATATATTTTATTTTACGATTTTTTAAGAGCTAAACATGTTTGAATTAAATAATTGAAGAATATAGCACATTCAGTCGATAGATAAAGGGTTGAGAAAAAAAAGGTAAAGGAAGGGAGAGGGAAAGGGTTGATGTTGCGACGGTGGTGGCTCTGCGCCATTGTTGGCACTACCGGCGAGTCTACGCAACAGCGGTTGTGGTGGTTGGGAAGGAGTGGCCGAAGCTAGGAAGAGGTGATCAGAGTTGGGGGCCTGATCGGAGTTGGGTGTTGGCCGGAGAAAGGGAATGAGTTCTGCAAACCAGTGGCCGGAGACTGCCGGAGTTTGGGGTAAGAGTTTGGTTACTTTGGTAATGTGATTAATGGGTAGAATGGTATTAACAAAAAATAAAAAATAAAAAATAAAAATTGATAATTGATAATTGGGTGTCTAATCTAATTTTGCTAGGGATCATAAAAAAAAAATATTAGGAAGATAATCATGAAAATTTTTTACTTTTGAATTATACACACAATAAAACATCACACACTAATCAACACTAATCAAAGAATGAAAAATTTTCATGATACATTTCATGATATTTTTTTAATGATCCCTAATATTACTCAAAAACCAATTACCAACACAAGTGAAAGACTGGGGGAATTCTTTTCCCCTTCTCACCTACATGTATTTCTCCTAATTCTATTGGCACACCATAAATATTTTCAACTTACATTATTTTATGGTTCGAATATCAATTATTCGAACAAAAATCTTGATATTTGGATAATTAATTTCTGTTGAGAAATTGATAACATTTAATTTTTGTTCTGAAACTTATATAAAAAAACTCACAAATGATAAGAACCTAAACTGATAGCTGGTATGAAGCTGGGATGGGACTTGAGAGTTGGTTTGGACTTGACATCGTGGAAGAGTGCAGATGACCCTTCATTCAGAGATTTCTCTTATGTGCTCGATGTTGATGGTCTTCCACAAACCATTATACATAAAGGGTCTGTTATGCAGCACCAAAGTGGGATATGGAATGGTCTGCAGTTTAATGGAGCCGAGCTTAAAAACTCTATCTTCAATGCTAATTTCATCCATAATTCAGGGGAGGTGTATTTCATGTTTGATCTATATCAACAACTAACAAGGTTGGTTTTGAATTACACTGGGATAATGCAATGTGTGATATGGAACAATAGAAACCTTGATTGGGTTGTCATTAATACAGTACCTAGTAATCCATGCGAAAGTTGGGGCCAGTGTGGTCCTAATTCTAATTGCACAATCTCTAATGAATCATCACAAGATTGGAATACGATGGTTTGGGATGGTGGGTGCGTTCGCAAATGCCCATTAAACTGTTCGGATGGAGAAGGATTTGTGATATTCAAAGGCGTGACCATCCCAGATTTGTTAGAGTATTTGCTGAACGCTAGTATGACACTATGTGAATTGAAGTGTTTAAAGAATTGTTCTTGAACTGCTTATGCCAACTCCGATACTGCTGGAGGGGGTAGTGGATGCTTGCTCTGGTATGGGGATTTGATTGATATTCGAAGCTTCCCAAATCCTGGTGTTCAAACTCTATATTTGGGTTACAGCTGCAGACCGAGGTACGTTTCTTGTGATTTGTGTGCAATAATTCATTAGGCTACATAAATTTGGCCAAACACATAAACTACACATATTTTTTATTTTTAAATATAATTTTCACAGGATGGTGTTTGTAGAGTCTAGATCAGGTTCCAAGGAGAAGAAGAAGAGGCTCGTGTTGGTGATTATTCCCGTCTCATTAGCTTTGTTGTTGTTCCTCCTTGCTTCTTGTATAATATCGAAGAGGATAAAACAAACAAGAGGTGAATCTAAGGCTCCTTAATTTGGTTGAAAGTTAATTGGAATTACTTGTTTGTTTTGTTAGAGTTTCCTGTTCAGAGTTTATTCTTTTGTTGACTTAATGTTGGCTCCCATTGGACTCCGTCAAAGACAACATTTAAATGACACGCATTATCTTAATCCTATTATTTCATTGGTTCTTTAATGTTTGCTCCCATTGGACTCCGTCAAAGACAGCATTTAAATGCTTGCATTATCCTAAGCCTAATATTTCATTGGTTCTTTATGATTAGATAGTTTGACAATATTGTTGGGTCTATTTCCTTACATCTTAAATTTTTGGATAGTTTTTTTTTTTTTTTTTTTTTCTCTAATCAGCAACAGAAAGAGCCTTTATTAATGAAATCAAAACATACAATGCATATGAAAATACATCAACAAAGTTGAAGGAAAGAGCAAAAAGCATCAAAGTGTATCTCCCAAATCCCAACTAGGTTGGCACCAAGAAGAACACCCAATCATTTGCTAGCTCAAGCCAAAACGTTGGTGAGAGACCAACAGAAAAACAAGGGGGGATAGATTAGATAAACCAAGCAAACTACAAGGATAGAAACAACAACAACCTAGGATAGAAAAAGCAGTAACCAAACTGAGCTAGCGGATCAACAACCAAACTAAGCTAGCAAAACACAAGACACATCAGCATCTGAACTGATTTTCCAAGAGAGATAAAAATGGCAGCAGCACCTCTGTTTCAGCTTCAAATTTGTTCAGATGCATTTTCTCAGAGCATCCCAATCCAGTATCAAATGCTTCTCAAATTTGAAATTTGATGAAAAAAGTCGAATGAGGTGCTCTAACCCTTTCACCAAAATCATATCAAATAAAGGCAAAACCAAAGCTTTCATCAAATGAAGGGAGCCTTTCATCTTTCATCAAATTTAAATTTACCATTGGGCCAGACATCCTCCGGATGTCCACCCAAATGTCCATTAAGGGCAATTTTGATAGCTTTTTTGTTCATGTCCGGGGGACAACCTCCAGGACATCTGCCCGGATATCCTTCTGGATAACTGAGAATGTGAAAAAATCTGATGAAAATTTTAGTTTTAGCATTGGAATGAACGGGTATCAAATCAGAATTTTACTCAAATTTGATGAAATTTTTGATTCACCGTTAAAGATGGTCTCACCTGTTGTATGTTTGACACAATCACATTTGTTAGGTGTTTTTTTTTTTATTTTTTTTTTTACTATTTTTTATATTTATTTTTTGTTGTTGTAATTGGCAATCATGTTGGGCAAAAAACATCATTCATTTGTAATTTCTTTCTTTTTCTTTTATCTGTGAGGTTACGAGAGTTTAGATACGAATCCAATCTGAGTTGTGCTTGTGTAAAAGAGTTTGTGCTGACATTCCGTATCTTGACTTGAGCATTCCTTGATTGATCGCTCGAGCGGGCTTTCGTGCGCTGTCTAGTGTTTTTGTTTATGTTCTGAACTTTTGGGAAGCATATTTTACTGCTTGAGTGGTAGATGTTGCGCTCGAGGGGTTGGCTTATATATGAGAACCTTTGTTATCAGAATCTTATAATTCGCGATTCGATTCGCAATTTTTGCAAAATCGATATAAATCTACGGGTGAATCTATTTTGGAAGTGAATCTCTAATGAATCGCACGATTCACAATTGATTCACAATTTGATTCGCTTTTTACGACTCATGCAATTTTGGAAATTATTGTGTCCAACATATTTTCGACTCTTTTTTTCTCTCTATCTTTTTAGTGAAAATGACATAATACAACTTTTAATAACGTTTAATACCAAAATAACCAACATATATACGTGATTTATTATTATTTTAGTGATCATAGAGTTTTTAATAAGATCTAATCAGATTCAGTCACACTCAACATATTTTTAACATTTCTTCTCAATTTTTCCCTTTAAAGAATCATAATATATTTTCTAAAAATGTTTAAGATTAAAGTTATTCTATGAATTATCTATTGCTATTTTATTAAATTGAATATAATTGAATATTGCATGTGTGAGGTCATTTATACCTTTTAAAATGTTTTAGGCTTTAAAATAAAAGATTCTAAATAATTCTTTCTTATTATTTGCTCACTATTTCTTAGAAAAGTATGTATACTTATTCTTCAAATATCAATAAAAGGGCATACCCAGTGCACGAAACTCCCGCTTAAGCAGGGTTTGCAGAAGGGTTGATATACGCAGCCTTGCCCTCGCAAGTGGAAAGACTATTTCCTCGATTCAAACCTGTGACCACTAGGTCACCAAGGGGCAGCCTTACCCTTGCTCGTCGTTAATCATTGTTACTTTGGAAATCGATAGTTTGTCTATTTGGTTATTTCTTTATTAAATGGTTGATAAGAAATATCTAAAAAAGAAAAAAAAGGTAAGATGGTGATCTTACATAGAAACCTTTGTTAATTTCTTACCTATTAAATTACGTGATTATCATTCAAAATAACAATTTTATTGATTTAAGTCTAAACATTTCATATTCATAAGATATATTTAACATCTAAATGTGTAGATATGTGTTTTTAAGTAATTTTAAAAAAAGTGACCGAATCTTTACGATTTGCGATTCGGTACGAGGCTATTTTGATTCACGATACGAATCCTGATTTGACAACTATGGTGAGCACTGCCTTTAGTCACACCGCTTGAGCGGTAAATTGAGCGCTTGAGTGGTCTTTGCAACTCTGTTTGGTGAAAAGTATGCCGTTTGCTATTTTCAAGGTTGAATGTGTCCAAATTTTCAAAGAGAAGTAAAAATACGAAGAATTTTATATTGGAGCAGGTTTGTATATGAGTTTTCTTGATATGTAGAAGGTGATCGATTGATCAATCAGTTATATATTGACAAATATCAAGGGTTGTTTTTGTTCTTTCATTCACAAAAAGAGTGGTGTTCATCGGTGGATTTTGGAGAACTTGGGCCTGAAGCTTTGATGGATTTCGAAGTGGCTCATCGTCGTGGATTCGATATCGGCGTCACGGATTCAACGTTAATAATTCCGAGGTGAAGACGGCAGTGGAGGAGGCACATCGGGTTCGGTTCAATTCAGGGCACAGATTCGCTAAATAATTGAAGGTTCTCGTGTGTAGTTCCTTTTTGTCTTCTTAGTGGATTATTTTGACTTTGGCCCTTGGTTTTTATCACAGTTGGAGGAGTCCAATTGTGATTTTTTCCATGTTAAATCGTTATGCCGATTTGTTGTTGATTGTTTGATGGGGATTGTTATTCATTGTTTAAAATTGAATCATAATCACAAATCATTATCTTGGGGTTTTTTAAGAATTTTCAATTGGTATTAATGCAGGTCGCTCAATCTTTGTTTTTTCAAAGCCATAGGAGCAAGATCTTGTTTGATTTGTGATAACAGATTCAATTTGTGAGGGGAATTCCACGATGCGACCACCCCTACTTTACGGATCCAATTATTCTTTTCGGAAAGCTCGGATGAGAGCATTTTTAAAAGCGGTTGATTAAAAAGTTTGGCAATCCGTCATGTCTAGGTGGACTAAACCTACAATTACCATTGATGGATTAACGTTCCCCAAACCAATTGACTAATGGGACACAATCGATTACCAATATATTATCTGGATTAGTAAAGCTATTAACTCCTTATTTTGCACCAATTTAGTCGTATTTACAATTGCGAAGCCACAAAAGAGGCATGGGATATATTAGAAACTATTCATGAGGGTACTCTTTCGGTTAAACGCTCAAAACTTCGAAGGCTCGCTTCTAGTTTTGAATACCTTTCAATGAAAAATAGTAAGATCTTTGATGAATTTTATGCCAAGTTGAGTGATATTGTGAATTTCAGCTTTAATTTAGGTGAAAAAATATTAGAATCCAAGAAATGTGAGAAAAATTTTGAGGTCCTTGCCTGATCGGTTTCAACCAAAAGTTACGGACGGCTATTGAGGAGGCTCAAGATGTTGACAACCTGAAGCTGGATCATTTAGTTAGAATCTCCAAACCTATGAGGCTCATATGAATTTAAAAAAGAAAGAAAAAATTGATGTTGTTTTTATTGCTTTTAGTAGTGCTCATAGAGTTGGAAATGCTTTCGATGAGGATTCTGAGTTTGATTCTGAGATGACAGATGCTTTTATAAAACACTTCAAAAAGTCTTTTCTGAAAAAGGGGCATAATCTTTTGAAATCAACTCATAAATCCAAAGGCAAAGATAAGCTCAAAATTGAGTCTATAATCGAGAAGAAGATATGAAAAGTTCAAGGAAATTCTCAAAGAGTCCAATGCTATGAATGCCAAAGATTTGGCCAATTTTCTCAAGAATGCCTTAATCGATTTAGGAAGGAGAAAACTTTCACTATCACTTGGCATGATGAACTGATAAGGATGAAAGTGACAATGAGGCTCAAGGCAAAGAAGGGCATGAACCATTTCTTGCTTTCATGGCAGTTTCCGTAGCTGAGGGATGAATAGATTATGCTGAGGGCAAGTTGAGTATGCTCATGGGCACGATCTTTCCACCCCTCCTTACTTTGACGGATCTGAATACTCGTACTGGAGTGCTCAAATGAGGGTGTATTTATTGGCATTTAATGCAAGCTTGTGGAGGATCATAGAGGAAG